CCAATGATGGTTGTAAGGGCGGGGTTTGGTGCCCCGCCTCCTTTTAAAAATCTGTCTGAACTAAATTTGTCTAAATTAACCACTAAACTGACGGAATGTAAGATGAGGTGTAATGAGATTTCAGTGGATTAACTTTACCAATCTGCGCTAGCAAAATAAACATTATTAATTTTGATTTCACGCAGACTTTAAAAACTAGAACCACTGTGCAGATTCTCTTTTGTCAAATGCAGAACATCAACTTCATGCCACACCAGAACACTGCCGCTCAGCATCGTAAAATGAATATATCATCTGCCGATCGTTCCCTTCTCATGCATAATGGATGTCAAACCAATCCAGCGATGGTGGTGCGCAAGCTGATTTTATATGTTGGAGCTGCTGTAAGGCCTCACTTCAAGTGCTCCTCTGGTAGTCATTACAGGGCTGTATTGTGAAGTCAGTGATATGTTTTGGGGAGGCAGGCTGGCCATCGGTTTGACGCACGGCCAGATGCTGAACGAGCATAGACGCTTTCAGCTCCAGAGCAACGGAAACAGGAGATTTACATCGACGCCATGTTGTTTTGATGGCTCCCACATGTCGCGTAATTTCAACAAGTTAAAATATGAGAGCAGCAGGACAGACTGATCGCCAGGGCCATTTCATTAGCCTCGGTTACGGTAGCTCTTTCCTTGAAGATCTGCGGGACGGTCAATTTATGTAGCGATAAATCATCCATTTCATGTTAATTCTCCCATAAACCCCTCTGCCTGCGATTACGTCAGCCTTTCGGGTACATAAATTTGTCGCAAAGTCATTTTTCTACAGCCCAGCAAAATCTGCTGGAAGTGACAGCATGATATAAGGTGGGTCAGCAGTTTCTGGATGGACAGCTTTTATAACATTGATATGTTCTGATCCAGCTGGTAATATCTGTGAATAATACACCGGTTAATATAGTCATAAATAACTATGAATAATAATGAAATTATGCCCAACACCATTACACCACCACCACCAGCCTGAACCGTTCATACAAGGCAGAATGGATCCATGCTTTCATGTTGTTGACGCCAAATTCTGTCCCTACCATTAAAATGTAACAGCTGAAATGGAGACTCATCAGACCAGGCAACGTCTTTCCAATGTTCTATTGTCCAATTTTGGTGAACCTGTGTTAATTGTAGCCTCACTTTCCTGTTCGTAGCTGACAGGAGTGGCCACCTCAAGGTTGGATGTGTTGTGCATTTAGAGATGCTCAGCTGTAACGAGTGGTTATTTAATTTACTGTTGCCTTTCTATTAGCTCAAACCAGTCTGGCTCTTCTCCTCTGACCTCTGGCATCAACAAGGCATTTGCACCCACAAAATTGAAACCATGCCACATTCGAAGTCACTTAAATCACCTATCTTAACCCTTCTGATGCTCGGTTTGAACTGCAGCAGATCGTCTTGAGCATGTCTACAAGCGTGAATGCATCGAATTGCTGCCATGTGATTGGCTAATTAGAAATTTGTGTTAACGAGCAGTTGGACAGGTGTACCTAATAAAGTGGCCGTGAATGTATATTCTGTAGATTATAAATACAAGTATGCATTATATTTTAGCTTTAAATTTGGCACTGCATTACACTGAATTTTAGGATTAACTAAAATTTAAATTAACAGACATAACAATATTAATAAAATCACAGTTTTAGCAAGCACTTCTTTATACCACATACATACATGCTTACCAGTTGGTCTGGATGTGAAGCAACTTTCCGTTTAAAGAATTATTTCTCACATAAAATCGAATACATAACATAAACACATTTTATAACGATCTCTTAAGTGTTAGTGTGGTATTTTTGAGGGCAAACCTGTACCTGTAATGGTGGACATGTTGTGGGGTCATGATTACATCCGCTCCTAGGAACAGATTATTTACAAAACGTCACTCTGGATGACTCTATTACTGTAGATTACTGTATACTAACCTGCAGCACTGAGAAGCAGAAACAGAGACTCTCTCTTTTCCCTGACAGCAGGAATGTTTCACTAAACTAGTCTGGACTGGCTCCAGCTATCCAGTGACCAATGGCCTAAGGAAGAGCAGGGGAGTTTTCAGGTCAGGAAATCCACTTTTTTTCTCATGTTGTTGTTGTAGTTCACAAATCTGATGCAGAAAATAGTACATTTTAATTTTAAAGGAAAGCTTTTTTTGTGGCTCCTTTTACATCACCCCTAGACTTATACAATTGAGTTTTATCATTTTTGAATCCATTCAGCTGATCTCTGAGTCTGGCGGGAGCACTTTTAGCTTAGCTTAGCATAAATCATTGAATCGGATTAGACCATTAGCATTGCTCAAAAAAATCCTAAAAAGGGTTTTGATACTGGTCCTGTTTAATGCTGGACCCTCCTGTAGTTACGCTATTTTCTAAATCGATATGGCGAGGAACTATACACTCATAATGACGTAATTAAGGAAAAAGAAACATAGGAATTTCGCTTCTGTACCATGGCTGCAGCAGCCACAATGATATTATGCAGCACCTGAAAATAGTCTGTAATTAGTCTCGCATAACCAGACTGATGGCTAAAGGTTTGTCAACTTTAACTGCTTTGAATGGTCAAGGACCGCCCACTATGTTATTTGACTGACAGGTTAACCAACCAATCACCTTTCATTTTGTGCCACGTCATGTTTGGGGGTGTGGAAAATCCACTGAATAACAAGCTGCAGCATCATTCATTCATGAACTCTATAAAAGTATACAACAATGGTGCATCAATATACTTAATGATCTGTAAGTAAAACACAAAGGAAATTTTTATTTAATCACATATGATTTTAGGCAGACTGGTTAAGATTTCTGCACACTCGACTCCTTGAAAATCCTGTATCTTTAAACCAATCAGGGGACGACTGAGGATCCGCTGAAGTGAAAAATGTGACATATGCATTGCATGTTTGCAAACAGTGCCGTGTAATAACATTACTCCTGCAGCAGCAATGGTACGGCAGCTATGTTCCTTGATTATAACGCTGGAATGAGTATAGAGAATAAGAAAATTATCATAAAAATGTTCTCTCTTTTTTTTTTAACGAGATGCTAATGGTCTAATCCGATTCGATGATCTATGCTTAGCTAAGCTAAAAGTGCTCCAGCCAGACCTGGAAATTGGCTAAATAGATTTGAAAATGGTAAAACTGTTCATCTCAAGGAGAGTAGTAAAATGAGTCCGTGTCCAAAACAAAAATGGAATGTTTCTTTAAAATAAGTAAATACAGTTATTTTTTACATTTCTGAATAATATTAAAGCATTACAAACTTTTTTTTTTAACTTAATAATTTAGTACTAGTGAGTATATTAAAACAAAAACCCGTTTACTAAGATATGAAATATTGTTTTCTGAAAATAAAAGCATTTCGCTAAAGCTAATTTCAAAAACAAGAAAACGTATCTTAGTTTAAGGTGAAAAGCTGTTTCTTACCTCACCAGCAGACCTTTATAACTCTTCACAACTCTTACTTCATTTTGCTATTCAAGTAAATGTATATCGTTTTAAAATACATTTTTTGAAAATATAACTTTTGTGTTCAACAGAAGAAACTCTTACATTTAAATAAAGATGGATGAATCTTTATTTATTCAAATGAATGAATTAATAAAGACAGAATTTTGCGTGAACTATGCATTTATAAGGAAGCTGAAAAAGAAACATGTAGCATATGTTTAAATAGAGACAAACATAAAGCATATGAGCCTTTAGTTAGAAATACTCGTATGCTTTACCCGTTTGCTTCTATGTTTGTTTATATAACTACTGTTTTCATTATAGCACTTCACATGCATTGACATTTAATATCTCTTGTTTATTTATTTTGTTTAGTTAATTATTTTCTTTGTTCTGTATTTCCACTCATCCCGAGGCCTCTAGAGATTATGCAGCACCACTGATGTGATCCAAGGCCTGTAAAGAGATGATGCCAACCATAGTGGACTTCTAGAGGTTTCCATAATCCTGGACCAGGCCGTATCCTGAGCAGATGCTGTGGCGGTCATGGAGGAGTGGAGAGCACTACACAGATTCCTGAAAGACCCAGTGACAGACATGTCTCTGCACGGATCTCGTGAGCCAGCCTGAACACACACCGATGACCTACTCACATCTGCAGCTTCTCCACGATGGACGTCCAGTGTTCTCCAGCCTCCGGCACACAGACTGCAGCTCTGCACAACAAGTCTGGCCAGAAAAGAAATGGTCGTGCTTAATTGAGCCTGGTTTCTCTTGAGGTTTTTTTCCTCCACTTTCATCAATTGGTGAAGTTTTGTTCCTCGCCACTGGCATTTGGAGCTGTGCATTGATAAATTTGCTCTTCAGTGTGAAATTTAAACCACACTGAACTGAACTAAACTACACTTCAATTCCGAAAACTGGACTAACACCGTTTTAATTTAATAGAACTTCTATGTTGAGCTGCTTTGACATGATCTACATTGTAAAAGTGCTATAAAGAAGAATTTAATTGAATAAATATTGAATAAAACAAACATATCACACTGAGCCAAATAAGATGAAACCTCTTTACTTGAACCCAAAACACAGTGAAGAAATCTTCTTGTTTGTCTCCGAAGACAAAATGTCTGTTTGCAAAATCGACGTCATTTGCGACGCATACAAACACGCTCATGTCATCCGTGAAGAGTTCCAGGCTGAATAATGGACTTTTGCAGCATTATGTACAGTTTGTACAATAGTTTCAATTGCATGACACTTCAAATGACAATTAAGATCAAGCGTACATCTACAAGAGAACAGAACTACAGGAATTATCATGTAAAATGCTTTAAAAGGAACATCATTCAGAAAGCCCAAAAGCTTGTTTTCGTCGTCCGCAATAACGTTACACTCCTAAGTCTTGGATCATCTCAACGTCTCTGTGCTTCTGCCAAAAAGATTCTCTCTCAGCTTCTCTCGCTGTTCATTGTTCTTGTGAAGAACGTTAAAACCTCCTGAGGGGAAAATTCAGCATGAGAGCGCGTTTGTTTGCTGTTGTAAGCAGAGAGCTGCATCATGTCAATGTGAACTAGTGTCCTGACATTTTATCCTACCCATCAGATTATGCTATTGAACACTGTATCTGAATGGTTCTGAGATTGGGGTTATTAGGTGCATAGGTTAGGTCGATATTACAGCTTCATATCACACTACTCCACTTTAAAAAATTGATACTGGTAGCAAAATCTGATTGGTTGCATACTGCATCATCAAAATGTGCTACCTACTTTTTAAATGGGAGGTAGGACAATCTGACAAGGTAGGACAAAATGACACCAGCACCTCAAATACCTTTAAATTTAATGGGCAAAAAATGCTGCCCGACATTCACCACCAGTGTTGAGTAAAGTTACTTTTAAAAGGGATATATTACAATCTTAAAGGGATAGGTGAACCGACCCTTTAAATCTGTCTTAATCTTTAAAAATAACAATAACAATACACTCAAATTAAAAATTTAGGAAATTTTTGAGATGACTTAACTTTCAAACCAATTACTGCACTTGACTTGATTTAAGTCAAGTTAGCTCAAAAATGTCCTGAGGTTTGTTGCCTTAAAATTTTAAGTTGCGTCTATTTTTTACTGTGTACTTTTACATTACATTCTTAAAAAGGAACACATTTAGTTAATTAAAAATCTTTTTTTTTTTTGGTAAACTGATCCTTTGAGCCTATCTTATTCTTTAAAAATAACAATAACAATTCATACACAGTAAAAAATAATATGATCAATTAGCCCTGACAGCATGTTTTAGGTCATAGGTTATGCAAGCTGTTTTAAGTTAGTTTAACAATATAAGTATTATGGACTTAAAAGGTTTATTTGATTCAGCTTAAAAATGTAAGTGTACAGTGTACTTTTACATTACATTCTTTAAAAAGTAACACATTTAGCTACTTAAAAATCATTTATTTTGGGTGAACTGACCATTTGACCATTCATTTCTTAATCTCGATATAAACAAGCAAAAATAACATAATACATACTTTTACATTACCTTCCCCCCTAAATAACATTTTTAGATATTAGAAAAAAAGTGACTCAAGACTGTAATGTATTACTCTTAAAAGTAACCTTACCCAACACTGCTCGCCACCCATTCCTAACACAGCAATGTCAAGCCAACATTTTGTTTGTGCAAAGGCAACAATTTGTTAATGAGAATATAACAACAATAAAAATTAAAGCGACACACACACACACACAAAATGAAAAAACAAAACAAAGTACAATAGTGCAATTTTTCAGTTTCTGCTCCTTCTGCTCTTCAGGCTTGTCTGTGTGGTTTATTTCCAAGGACAGTTTAGTGGTGGTTCCATTTGGTCCTCCTCCCGTTTGCAGCCTGGTCCCAGCGCTGGCACACATGCACAGAAGAACATTAATCAGGGGCCTCTGTTTCCATATGCTCATTCAGAGAGTTAGAGATTATCACAGCAGGTCAGACGCAGAACACACAAATGCTCTACAATACTTTATTCAGAGAAAAGCATCTTCCTTTATAGATATAAAATGCCCACAAATGTACACTGAAGAAAAAATTACTCATTGGATTTTAAGGTAAGGGGTTGCCAACAATTTATATGGGCCGAATTTGAACAAATAAAATGTAGTAATGTTCAGCTTATTTTGTTTGTTTAAATTTGGCCCGTATAAATTGTTTACACCTTATACTGAAAAAAAATGATTCAACGATGATTCAATGGATTTACTTTTTAAGGTAAGTGGTTAAATTCAGCCTAAATAAATTGTTTTCAACCAAACAAATTAAGTTGAACATTACTACATTTAGTTTGTTTAAATTCAACACATAAAAAATTGATGGTGACAATTTTGCTATGCAATTTTTCCAATGAATCTTTTTTTTTTCAGTGTAGAGTAAGTTCATGGACTCTTAATCTTGTCATTACAAGGATCACTAATAAGATGTTAGGTTGGAAATTGTTAGGTTTGAAATCAAAATTTTAAAAAGAAAATAGAAAGATCTATAAATACATAATTTCCTAAGGGGGTTTAAAGTATATAATATTGCCCTTAGTAGTTTTTTTTTTCATTCCAGCAAAGCTGAAAGATATCAGACTTTCCCCTGAAAAAAATGTATAAAAAAATAAAATACTGTCCATATGTATATTTTAGTGCTGTCAAAAAAGGATTAATCACCATTAATCGCATAACAAATAAAAGCTTGTATTTTGTGTGTGCGTATATATATATATACTGTATATAAATCATACATGTAAATATTTTTTGTTTTTATCTGTATTTATACACAGTGAATGCACAAACATGTAAATAGAAATTGTGATTAATGTGATTAATCATTACTAATCGTTTGTGCATATACAGTATACAAACACACACACACACACACACACACACACACACACACACACACACACACACACACACACACACACACACACACACACACACACACACACACATCTGAACTAAAGTTCGGGGTCAGGTTTTTTTCATGTTTTTTTTTTAAGAAAATAATTCTGTTCATCAAGGCAGTATTTATTACATGTAAAACAAATTGTTAAACTGTTAAATGTTTATTAAAAGTTTAAATAACTGCTTTCTTATTGTATATAGATTCAAATGAAATTATTACTCCAGTCTTTATTGCATTTATATAATACTATTACCATTAATAACAATAATAATAATAATAAACAATTATAATAACTATAATAATTATTAATATTAGAGTGATTTCTGAAGGATCATGTGACTGGAGTAAAGAAGTTGAAAAATTAATCTTTAAAATCACTGGAATAAATGATAAATTAAATTCTAAACTGCTTTTGAACAGTTATTTTATAGTGCAATAACATTTCACAACTTTGCAATTTGTACTGTATTTGTGATTAAATAAATGCAGCCATATATATATATACATAAACACACACACCGTGTCTCAAAAAAACAAGCAATATTAAATCATACAAAATTAAGACAGCTTAATGTGCTACAAGAATGACTAAATTTCATACAGAAATAACAGCAGAATCTGTGTATTAGAATAATATTTTATTTACTGTCCTTGGTGATGACGTAATGATGACGTATTTATTTTTTAGTTATGTAAAGCTTACATAAAAATTGTGTTTTTGAATAAAGATAAGAGTTTGATAGGCGACGCGGTGGTGCAGTGGGTAGCACGTTCGCCTAACAGCTGGAACACTGCTGGTTTGAGCCTCGGCTGGGTCAGTTGGCATTTCTGTGTGGAGTTTGCATGTTCTCCCCATGTCTAGTTGCTCCGGTTTCCCCCACAAGACGTGGTATGGGTGAACTGGGTATGCTAAAATTAACCATAGTGTATGAGTGTGTGAATGAGTGTGGGTGTTTCCCAGTGATGGGTTGTGGCTGGAAGGGTATCCGCTGTGTAAAAAAATGTTCTGGATAAGTTGGCAGTTCATTCCGCTGTGGTGACCCCAGATAAAAAATGTGACTAAGCCAAAAAGAAAATGAATGAATAAGAGTTTAAACAAAGGTTTACGAGTACTGAAAGGCAACATCGCTTCACGATTTCTTCATGAATTTCCAACTAAAAACTGTACTAAAGGTGTATTGGATTATCAAGTAATCAAGTAGGATTACTTAATAATCCAATCCAATTGATATGAAAATTTATCGCACTGGATCAGTATGACATGTGGTGGAGAATTGTCATCCACACACTGCCCCTATTGTTGAAAATATCACTACAGTCGAAGAAGAAGCCAAGGAGATGCAGAAGAAGGTAATGCAGTGATATAAATCAAGTGAGGTGGGAAATGTACACATATCATATCATTTCATCTATTTGCCATCTAATTAGAAAATATAATTGAAGTTGGAGGTATTTTGGCAAAATTCCAGCTTGGATTTTTTTGAGACATGGTATTATTATGAAATGCATAAAATTAAGTTATGATAAAAAAGTGCCTACTAAATTAAAAAAAATAAAACTAGTGAAAAGGTCATATGAAGAACAACTGTAATTGGATATTTTCTGGCTGTGAAATGTAAGTCAGTTCAGTGAGTCGGTTCAGATTTTTATTAGATATATTCAGTTTTCACACAGGCATCCTTACAGAATAAACACAGGTTTTAGTTCATAACTGCACCTGTGTTTATTCTGTAAGAACACCTGTGTGAAAAACTGAACTTATCCACTAAAAATCTGAACTGACTCACATCTCATTTGTATACACTTAACATTAGATTGCACTGACAGTTAGACATTTAACGTCTCCACTTAATATGTTGACTGTTACCATCATCATACCTTTACTTTCCGGCCTATTTTCTCTTTCCACTTCTGTGCAATGGATCTGTCGATGAGCAGCAGCCTGTGGCACAAACGATTTATGAGAACTGGAAGTTAATCCACACATCTCCTCGTCACCTAAATCAGCCATTACCTGGAGCGCTCCTCATTTTCATAACCCATGATGATGTACTCGTCGTTGGCTGTGAGCGGAGGACACAGACAGCCGGAGTTATAGTACAGAGTGACCGTGTCTCGAGGGATGTTGACCAGAGATGACTTCAGAACTTCTTTGACCTCCACAATGGCGCTCAGGTCATGATTTCTAATCCTGATCTCCTTCACTCTTGCACGAATCACTGCAAGGAGAAACATGTGCAAGATTAAGGATTACATTCAGGTTGTAATAGTACTTTGAGATGCAGTTTAGGAAAGAATATGTAAGAAAGGAGGCTTTGAAAAAAAAATTAAAACATGAAGACTTACCATAATTGTAATTATTCTTTGAATATGTCTTTTGATTAAATTTCACAGACTTGCATTTGCACCGATCTGAAAAAGCAAAGAGATTTAGGTTCAGAATTTATGATTTCTATTGTTATATTATCCAAACAACAAACAATATGCAATGTTTAACAAATTTGCACACAACTTGTTGACTGTTAATTACGAATTATGGAAAACAAGCCAACCCCCCCGCCAAAACAAACATTAAATATAAAAATAAAAACAAATGTTACCATTTGCTCCTTTGCAGTTAGTATTGTGTGAATCCATTGGGAAGTCTGGGTTTCCCTCTGTGCAAAAACCAGAGCTAAGATTAACATCCAACCTAAAATTCATTTTATCCAGTTGAGACACAAGCATAAACCTCTTTTAATCGACAATATTAATTAATAAATGTTAAAATATGAATCTAAGATGATAATAATAGTAATAAGTCCTCACCAGGGTTACATTTCGCAGGGTCTTGGTAGTAAGAATTATCTTTAGGGGGAAACAAAAAAATTCAAATTAATTTTTTTACAGAAATATTAGATATAAATGAATACAGTATAGATTAATGCATACTTTTACTTTTTAATAAATAGGTCTATCTAATTATATAAAGATAATGTATTAATCTACCCCGTCTATCTATCTATCTATCTATCTTGGCTGAATTAATGTAAATTGAGCAAACGGTTCATGCATATCTATATCGATATAGTATAAAATGCCCTAATTAGTGTTTTTTATTTTATTATTAATAATTTATTTTTATTATTACATATATCATTACATACATCATAACATAACAATAATATCCTTTATAAAAAAAATTCAAACATTGCACACATTAAACAGATGCATGAAATTAAGTCTGAAATGTGCATTCATCTGCCAACTTTTATATACTTAAATGACTATCCTTAGCCAAATAATCATAGTAAATAATCAAAATGTACTTGAATTCACCCTAAATGTATGTATATACACTTTAACTTGAATAACTTTATATTATTATACTAGCATAAAACTATGTACTACTGTTAAATATTCTATAATTATATATATTTTTTAAATAATCTGAGTTTTCATCATACTATTATTTAATTTAAACATGAATTTTTTATTATATCTTAAATAAATCATGAAAGCATGAATAATAACCTGGCCCCTCCGCTTTGACTATGGCCTCAGGTGAGATGCAGACCCCTCGGTCGTACACCGGCAGCTCCTCGCAGGCCAGACTCTCCGGCCACGTATGGTTGTACCTCTTCATGACCGGCTCGCAGCCGCACTTGGCCCGCTCGCACACGGACTTGCAAGGCTTGATCGGGTCGTGCTGGAAGTCGATGGTGCAGATGGGCGCGTACATGGCGCACAAGAAGAACAGCAGATCCGCGCTGCACTGAGTGCCCAGGAGCCCTTCAAACTGCTCGATGGCCAGGACGGCGTTGGCTTGCGTGCTGTGATGGAGGTGGTTGGGCATCTTGGTCATGTTCCAGGGCATGGATTTGCACATGGGGATGCGGATGGGCTCGCAGGACGCGGCTCCGGTGCCCCGCGGGATCTCCAGGAGACATGCGAAGGCCAGGACGCAGATGAACATCTCGTAGGAAAACATGTTTTGCATTAAATATAAAAAAATAATGATTAAAAAAAGCGGAGTTGATAGAAGAATGACATGCGGAGGTGTTCTGGAGACTCTAGCGCGTAAAAAGCTCCCCGGCGGTGCCAAAAGAAAGTTCCTCAAACTAACTTCACCATTCTGAGGGAATGCATCGGATGCGTAGAGCACAAAAGCTCATCTCTTCTTGAAATTGTCGATGAAATAATTGGAGTTAAGAAAAAAAGCTGAAGAAATTCTCTTGTGGAAATGCTGAGGGGTCCTCGCGTCAGGAGCGCGCTTGTGAACTGGTCTCTTCTCCGGCTCCAGCTGACAGAAAGCGACTGGATGGAGAGAGCTGGAGGAGGAGGAATAAGAGGAGGTGGGCAGGGGACATGAAGCAGCCCACCTCCTCCATCACTTCAGTGTGTCCCGTGGCGCGGCTGTTGACTTACTGCTGCCGTGTAAGCAAGACAAAAGCGCAGTTTGAATTAAGTACAATGGTACATAGAGCTGTGGACTTAAGGAGGTGTTAATTTAAAGGCAAACCTCTAATAAACATCGGTCTGTGTTGATTAGGAAACTACAAAAGGGTCAAAACAATTAGAAGTTCGCACTTTAAATGTTTTTTTTTTGTTTTGTTTGGAGGTTATTGTGAGAATATTTGTATATCATATAATTGCTTAGAAAACATGTAACTAGCTCTGATATACATCATATTGATACTTAGTATGTATGTCAAATATCACAAAGCATAATTTGTCATTAAACTGTCTACAAACTGCGTATTCATAACCTCAAATTTGCTAGCTAAACAGGAAGGCTAATTCGCCTGGGAATGTGTTTTTAGCAGCAGTGATTGATTTACGAGGTAAATAAAGCCAATGTTAACATTCACCTTTCGTTTTACAGCATAAAGTACACAGTCATAACTCAAGACACATTTCTGAAAGCTAGCAGAGTATCGTGCTAGCAGCTTACTAGTTTAGACTACAACTTTGCATTCTTGGCGAATCCAATAGTCATTTAAGTTGTTTTAAAAAACGAAATATTTGTCATTTATGTTGTACAGCTAAATGTTAAGTAAGTCTCTTAGATAAATGTTGACTACAAACTTTAAATAAACACAAGCTATGCTGAAAACCAGTAGAAACTCAAGGGAGCTCGTGATTATTTTCTTTAAACGACCACCGCTCGCAAATTCATGAAGTGATAACTTACCCATCCAACAGAAGATATAAAACCTGACACAATATCAATGTGACAGACTGTTTGACACCACTCAATTTGACGTTTTCTTAAAAAAAAAAAGCTTGTCGATAGCAAATAACTACATGAATGACTACGATACCATTAGTGTGCGTAAACATTCTTGAGGATTTGGACAGCATTTTGCAGTTCTCACACATTATTAGCATCTCTTAAAACCAGGAGAATATTTATGGAATGACTGTACATCATTTATGTAGCACAACAAAATGTTAAAGTCTCTTTAAAAATGTTAACTACACACTTTAAATAAAAACCGCTATGCTAAAAACCCATTAGAGATAATCTTGAGGGAACTCGTGGCTCAAAACTGCTAATTCCGTATGACCATAAACAGCTTTTAAAGCAACTTCATGAAGTGGTATCCTTCTAACACTAGCTATAATCGCTGACATAATGCTGCTAAAGCATCAATATGCTGACAACAAGAGATGTTAATCTAGAAATGCAGCAAATCATTTGCATCACTCGGCGCTTAAATAATTGATCTTAAAGGGATAGTTCACCCCAAAATGAAAATTCTGTCATTATTTACTACTCGCTTCGGTCCTCACTAGGGGTGCCCAAACTCGGTTCTGGAGGGCCGGTGTCCTGTAGAGTTTAGTTCCAACCCCAATCAGACGCACCTGGGCTAGCTAATCAAGCTCTTACTACTGTCTGTAGGCTTTCTAGAAACATCCATGCAGGTGCGTTGAAGCAATTTGGAGCTCAAATCTGCAAGACATTGGCCCTCCAGGACAGAGTTTGGACACCCCTGCCTTACTTTTTTCATACCTTTAGTAGTTTCTTTCTTCTGTTGAACACAAAATAAGATACTTTTAAAATGAAACAAGAAACTCAATGTTTGAAATTAATTGTTTAAACTTTTAGGTGAACTATCCCTTTAATCCGCATGACCTTATTCTAAAATGCGGAAGTGCGCCTGTTTTCGCGATTGTCGTAGAACTTCCGTTTCAGTCGCCTATGGGAGAAATTACAAGGAATAATAAACGGCAAAAACGGTCAAACTACTTGCTCTACAAACAAATGTTTGCATGACTATACAGACCAAGTAGAATAATATAACAAGGAAATATCAGTTTGCAACATCAAACAGCGAAACGAGCACTTTTTAATGTCTAAAAATGAATGGAAGTGAATGAGACCGGAAGTCTCGAGCCAAAAAGATTCAAATGGCAGCGCCCGCTCGTCTGCGGAGAATAAGGTCAATACCATAGACTGTAAAAAATATGGACGTAGTGTCCGTGACGTCACCCATAGGTTTCTGAAGAGCGCAAATGAAGCTTATTACTGTAGGCGTGGTCAGCCGTCGCCATCTTGGAAGTGCGTCATTCCCGGATACTCGAAAATGGGCAGAGGCGGATCTTAGGCGGAGTTAAGATGACTGTTTGCTGAAACCATAGAGACCATCCCACCACCCGCGACATTTGAATCATTTGAACATCTCAGCGTACTATCGAGGTAAATTAACCTGAAACTACACAACAAAACTTAAAATAATAAATGTTGTTGATATTATTATGGCTCTCTGTGGCAAGCCGTTTTGACTTATTCTTAGGATATGCTTTATTGATTTCAACATTCAGCATTCATTATATTTCTTTCGTTTGAAATAACTGAATTGTTGATATCAACTATTTAATTGTTAACATCAAAAAGTATTCTTTATATACAATACACACACACACATCTCTCCCGCGATTTATTCAGAAATTTACTCCCACACCGTAAGAAATCTGGCCGGCTCCCGCGGAACAGCAGTTATACCCGATAGGTCCCGAGTCCGACAGGTACATTTTGATTGACAGCTTTATACAGCCCAAACCCGTTCACAGCCTACATTAAAATGTGCTCATGCACAGCTCTAATGCATTTTTTTAAGAATGAGTCATTTATATGTTTTAACATCATTTATTCGTAACAAGCGTAGACTATAGGCCACTTGAAAGTTGGAACAAAGAAATAAAATAAGTCCTACAGCTGTAACATCGTAACATCTCAGCACTCTATAGGTCTAGGTACATGCACTTAGCCTTTAAATTATCCAACACACCAATGAAAAGTAATCTTGCTTAACAAATCAAATTAAAATAAACTCTAAATGATGACGGGTATTTTGGCAATAACGAAATTAAGATAAAGGCTGTGCAAGTTGTTTCTCCACTTCTCTTCACAATCTGGCATTAAGGCGGCGGTGAAGCTGAATAATAAAAGAATAATGCCACCATTAGTCTGTATACTCTGTCTACATTATGATTATATGGTTTAATTAATATTTATTTATAATTTAAAAACCCTTTACGCACCAAGATTAGGCTACGTGTGTTTGTGGAGGAACATTATTAAATCCACTGGCTTTAGCGCAGTCTCTCACTCATGGTGCGTCCAGCAGCTGAACACCCTTTCCTGCGGCTACAGGTCGAGATGCAGAGTTCTTATCCGGCTGATTTTGCAAGTTTTTGGTAGGATTGTTTGTTCATCTTCTACGGAAGCGTAGAGCTGCCACCCAGGTAAAAAAAAGAGCTTTATCACGTTTGTACAATATACTTTTCACGTTCTTACAATATAATATCACGTTTGTACAATATAATATCACGTTTGTACAATATACTTTTCACGTTCTTACAATATAATATCACGTTTGTACAATATAATATCACGTTTGTACAATATAATTTTACGTTTGTACAATATACTTTTCACGTTCTTACAATATAATATCACGTTTGTACAATATAATATCACGTTCTTACAATATACTTTTCACGTTCTTACAATATAATATCACGTTCTTACAATATAATATCACGTTTGTACAATATAATATCACGTTTGTACAATATAATATCACGTTCTTACAATATACTTTTCACGTTCTTACAATATAATATCACGTTCTTACAATATAATATCACGTTTGTACAATATAATATCACGTTTGTACAATATACTTTTCACGTTCTTACAATATAATATCACGTTTGTACAATATAATATCACGTTCTTACAATATACTTTTCACGTTCTTACAATATAATATCACGTTCTTACAATATAATATCACGTTTGTACAATATAATATCACGTTCTTACAATATACTTTTCACGTTCTTACAATATAATATCACGTTTGTACAATATAATATCACGTTTGTACAATATACTTTTCACGTTCTTACAATATAATATCACGTTTGTACAATATAATATCACGTTTGTACAATATAATATCACGTTTGTACAATATTAGTAATCATTAAGCCAACTTTATTTTTGAAAAGCAGGCGCATATTACCGTTATCGTTTCAGATATCTTCTGGTTTAAGCCTGCAGCTAACATTACTCACAATATGAAGGATTTAATCCAGTAAATTTTAAAATAAAGTTCTAAATAATTAATTATTTAAGACATCATTGCATGCATTTATGTTTAACATTGTACTAGAATATCACTCACCGGAAAAAATGGAGACCCGTCTTGGACGGTCTGTTAGTACAATTAACTGCACAACAAGCCATATTATTTAATAAATGTAAGAAATAAAACCAACAAATTGAACAGACTGCATAAAACCATGTACAACTAAAGCACAAACACTGCAGAAGCCATATTCATTAGACGGAATTAGCAGACGTGACGCGACCACGCGGGCTAGCTGCAGCTGACAAACTGTCAATCACGGCTGTCACTCAAGTGACCACTCCCTTAATTATGCAAAAGAAAAAATCATTAATATAAACCAAACGAATAAGTTATAAAAAAATTCACCCCCCTCAGAGTTGTCATGAAGGGTAACGCTAGCTATATGCACTAAAACCATCAAATGTACCAGGCTTTAAACACGTTTTTATCAGCTGTAAAAAAGGCCAATTTCCCATTGCAGTCAGAAATGACCTGCACTTCCTGGAGCCAGCCCCCCAAGGCGAGTCGATGAATTGCAGTTTTAGTTACTTCCGTATTGGCTTCACGAGGGAGAGCGGGATGTTGCCGCTTGGTCAATACAGAGATGAAGTTTTATATATACTTAGCGGCCACTTTATTAGGTACACCTGTCCAACTGCTCATTAACGCAA